CACACACACACACACACACACACACACACACACACACACACACACACACACACACACACACACACACACCTCCCCCCATCTTTATGCTAATTCTGCTAGTGAACATGAGCAGGCCACTGAGTCCCTGGGGAAGAAGCCGGGTCGGCTGCCTCTTTCTCTCCTCCCTCCCTCCCATCTCTTCTTCTGCACACTTTTCTCTCCATCTTTTCTCCTCTCCATGACCCCCCTCACTTATTTCCCCAGCACTGGTGCACACACAGAAACGCACACACACACACACACACACACACACACACACACACACACACACCCACACNATCTTTATGCTAATTCTGCTAGTGAACATGAGCAGGCCACTGAGTCCCTGGGGAAGAAGCCGGGTCGGCTGCCTCTTTCTCTCCTCCCTCCCTCCCTCCCATCTCTTCTTCTGCACACTTTTCTCTCCATCTTTTCTCCTCTCCATGACCCCCCTCACTTATTTCCCCAGCATTGGTGCACACACAGAAACACACACATTAAGGCACACACACACACACACACACACACACACCTTTCCTGTGCCCCAGCCCCTGTACTATTCCTCCCCATCACAACCTCTCCTCCCCTCAGCCCCCCCAGTAGGGTGTCAGCAGCTTGCAGAAGCTGTTGCTATGGAGACAGGTCCTATCTGCACTCTGTCCCCCTGGCATCCCCCGCTCCAGGAGCGCAGAGAGAGAGAGAGAGAATAAGATGCAGGAGAGTGAGGGAGAGAGTGAGTTAGAAGATACAAGAGTGAGGCAGAACAAGAAAAAAAGAAAAGATGATACGGGAGACAGAAAATGTTACGAGGAGAGATTTCTGTTCACAATCAATCACCTGGTCACATTACTGCTGTAGACAATTAATGATCGACTATCTGCTCATGCATTTCCACATTTGCTGATTAAAAGCAAGGTACGTAAGGTAGCAGTTGCCACTAGCAGAGGTAGATTTAGTATGCAGTCGGTCTTTATTAAAACCAACTGGCCTGAGGAAACACAACAAGGATCCAACCTTGCTTTTCTCGTGTTTTGTGGTGGCGCCCACAGAAATGTCTATATCTACCTTTCCATTTAAAGTCCTTGCTCGGAAGTAGCTGTCGGAAAGCCTCATGACAAGACTGCCTCGTTGAATCCGAATAAGTTGATTCACTAAGGAATCAAATCTACTGGAACATGTCTTATTAGCATTTGTGCAGGTAAACAATTATTCCTAATGCAGACACAACATACCATAATACAGAAAAACCAGTTCAAAAAGACGGTACAATCCACATCAGACATTACTGCTGCACTAATTAGTTGATATAATGAACATGGGTTTTTGTAGTCGAGCTGAATTATTCAGTTCCAGTCTGAATGTATGGAGGGGAGTCTGTAAATAACGGGGGAAGCGCCGGGTGGCAGCGCAACTTGAAAGGGCTTTAATGCCTGACGTGCAGCAGGAAGGAGAAGAATACCTTTCTTTCATTGACGAGCTGAAAGTTCAACAAAACCCATGGGACACATTTTCAAATGTCTGCGAATATTTACAGTGTTTAAACTGTAAACTATATTTTAATGGCCTTCTTCGGCAGATCTGCACAAGCACTCTGTAGAAAATAATACTGAGCTGTATTTTACATTACTTGGCTATCAATCATACACTCTCTGGGCTACAGACCTGAACTATAGATCATCACTTTGGCCTCGGTGTAGAAAAGTGCTTTCTTAAGATTTATTTAATAGCATAACATTTAACATTGTCTCTTTAAAATTATATTTTTAGGATCCGAAGACTATTACGAAAGACCTCAAAAGCTACAAGATTTATACAAAGTAATAATAAAAAAACTCAATTTAAACTGCCATGAATAATGATATTTGTACCATTACTTATAAAAGGTAAATAGTATCGTATTATATATGCATTAACCCTCAATTTTAAACAAGACAGAGTTCAACTACTCTGTCCCTTCAACCTGTAGAGACGGAGCTAATGGCCCTTGTAGTTATGGCAGTATTCAATAAAAATCTATAATGACCTTCATATATTATTAACACAAAATATATTTTATTCTGGATAAATGTAATGAGGAAGGAGCCGAGTGTGGCTGGGTCTCTGACAAGTGCTCTTCACAGTTTGTTCACAGTTTCCCAGAAAGCATCTCTTTCTGTGTTTGTAATGAAACATCAGACTAATGATTTGACTGTCATGTTGGTTTAGTGGCCATCAGTGGCAGTGCCAGAATATTTTTGTTGGGTAATCTATGGTAGGGCTAACCCATACAGTGGTGGGGCTCGAGTCAGTATTTGCAATGTAATTACATATACGCTCCCCTTGACAGTGAAACGCCACGCGTGAGGTTTAGATTATTTCCCTGTCTCAATCCAAATTGAACTGTATGAAATAAAAAGGCACATTTGTCTTGTAGTAAATAAAAAGGGCGACCTGGAGCCAATCCTGCAATTTCCCCACAGGTGAAAGAGTTGACATGCTGAAAACCCAACCCCTGCAGGGGGGTCTGGGGGGATTCTCCACCAGGAGATTTTTTGAAATACTAACATAAAATACACATTCTGGTACTCTCTTGAGAAGAAAAATAAATAAATCTATTACTCCACGACATATTTAAAAAAATGAATGCCATTTCAGTGTTTTGTTACTTTGTTCTGAAAGCTGAACCTGCTGCTCCTCAGAGAGAAGAGGGAAGAGGCTCTGTGAATTACTTTAGATTGTGGATAAGGGTGGATAGCCCCCATTGTTCTGTGTGTCAAAATGAAAGACAGTCCACACACCTATCAATCATTAAACCGTGGGGTCTTATTTCAAAATCAACACGTAATGTTGTATCGATGTATTATGTATATAGAGATGTACTACAGCAAAAGTATTCTCAGTCGAGACTTCCTGCAACAA